AGAGATTCTTCTCTAACTGCCTTTACACAAGATTTGATCCTAGCTGTTAAAACTATCATCCTATGAGATGATTACATCTGTCACAATCTAACACTACACTTAAGAAGCCACTTGGACTATGATCCAACGGCCCATATTACAACCAGCAGAAATAGCATTTAAACTAAAAGAATAAAATTCAAACTGAGAAAACAGCTTTGGCGCCAAGGACTTTACCTCAAAGGGTTATACATCAACACTCCCTTCTAACCCTTTGACTAACTTTACTCCAAGTAGATCTCTGAGATGCACAAAACGATCCTTGGATAAAGCCTTGGTTAGGATGTCTGCAATTTGATCTTCAGTTTTGCAGTAGATTAGCTCAATCTCCTTTGCTTGGATAGCTTCTCGGATGAAATGAAACTTTCTACTAATATGCCTGGATTTCTGATGAAAGACAAGGTTCTTTGCCATTGCTATGGCAGAGGTGTTATCACACAAGATTGGTGTGCCTTCCACTTGCTCCTCTCCAAAGTCTTCAAGCACAAACCTTAGCCATTTAGCTTGTGATGTTGCTTCAGCAGCACTCACATATTCTGCTTCTGCAGTGGACAGAGCTACTGTATTTTGTTTAATTGAAGCCCATGAGAACATACCAGACCCAAGAGTGAATGCATACCCTGAGGTACTCCTTCTGTCATCTTCACTTCCTGCCCAGTCACTGTCACAGTACCCTATCAAGGTAGCTGCCTTCCCCTTTTTAAACTCAATTCCATAATCTAGTGTGCCCTGAATATATCTCAGGACCCTTTTGGTTGTTCCTATGTGTTTCCTAATAGGATCGTGCATGAATCTAGCAAGCAAACTAGAGGCAAACATTATGTCTGGTCTAGTAGCTGTCAGATATAGCAGGCTGCCTACAATCTGCCTATATTCACTCTCATCTGCCATCTCACTTCCATCTTCCTTGCACAACCTTTCACTTGCAACCAATGGAGTTACCACAGATTTACAACCTTTCAAACCAAATTTTTCAATCACTTTCATTGCATATTTCTTCTGATGAAGAAATATATGCTTATCTGTTTGTACTACTCCCATGCCAAGAAAATGGAGTCATCTCATAATGTTTCATCATTTTTGAATTCTTCAAGTAGCTTTGCACAACTTCCAGTATAAACAATATCATCCACATAAAGAGAGACAATAAGAATACCTGAACCTTCATCAGTTTTGATATAAAGTGTAGCTTCACTAGGACTTTTCTTGAATCCTGCTTTGTTGAAGTAAGAGTTAATCTCATCATACCAGGCCCTTGGGGCTTGTTTTAGTCCATACAAAGCCTTGTTCAGCTTATACGCCTTGATTTCTTCATTCTCCTTCACAAAACCCTGTGGCTGCTCCACATATACCTCTTCCTTTAAGACTCTGTTCAAAAAATCTTTGCCACTGGGGCAAAGGTTTCATTGTAATCAATCCCAGGCTTTTGTGAGTAGCCTCTAGCCACTAAACGAGCCTTATTTTTCTGCACAGTACCATCTAGATTAAGTTTGGTCTTGTAGACCCATTTGACACCAATGACAGGTTTATTAAAAGGTCTTTCAACAAGCTGCCAAGTGTTATTCTTCTCTATCATTTCCAACTCAGCTTCCATTGCCTTTCTCCATGACTCATCTAGATCAGCCTCTTCAAAATTCTCAGGTTCCACAATGCACATATTGCACTGAGCCATAATGTCATTAATACTTCTCCATTTCTTTGGTGTATGATCCATAGCTTGAGAACTTCCACCAATGCTTTCATCCTGCACAGTAGTATCTTCATCTATTTGTGTTTGTGTATCCAAGCTTTGACTTGGTTCATCTTGTAGTGTGGTTTCTTCATCCATTTGCAGTGGTGTATCCAAGTTTGAACTTTGAGCACAGTCTTGGTTTTCAGTAGGCACAAGAACTATCATTTCTCCTTCTCTAACATTCTCCCATTTCCATAAACCATTTTCATCAAATTGCACATCTCTGGACAGAATAACCTTCCTAGTACTTGGATCAAACAGCCTATATCCCTTTTCACAGAGACCATAGCCTACAAAAATACACTTGTGACTGTTTTCTTCAAGCTTATGCCTCAAAGCTGAAGGAATAAGCACATGACAAAGAGATCCAAATATTTTTAAGTGTGCAATTCCTGGTTTTCTGCCAGTATAGGCTTCAAATGGTGTTACCTTCTTGAGAGCCTTGGTGAGACATCTATTCAACAAATAAACTGCAGTATTTACAGCTTCTGCCCAAAATTCATAAAGGATACCTTTCTCATGCAACATGGATTTGGCCATTTCCACCACTGTTCTGTTCTTGCTCTCAGTTACTCCATTTTGTTGAGGGGAGTATGCTACTGTTAACTGCCTTTGAATGCCTTATTCTTCACAGAACCTGTTAAATTTTCCAAATAAAAACTCCCCACCCCTATCACTTCTCAAGCTTTTTATCTTGAACCCACTTTGCAGCTTGACTTGAATTTTCTAAAACACTCCAGTGCACTTGACTTGTTTCTAATGAAATACACCCACGACATTCTAGTGCAATCATCTGTAAAAAGCAGAAAATACTTGTTTCCAAATAATGATTCTGTTTTCATTGGTCCACAGATATCTGTGTGAACCAATTCCAAAGGACTTGTTGCTCTTCAACTAGATTCCAATGGAAAAGAGTCTCTGTGCTGCTTTCCTTGCATACAACCATCACAAACCACTGAAATCTGCTCCAAATGAGGTAAGCCATGAACCATGCCTTGATTTTCAAGCATTTTTATGCTTCTTTCATTTAAGTGTCCCAACCTCTTGTGCCATGTCTGCAAGCAGTGTGAAACACTGGTTCTCAAAGCCATATCCCTTGCAGGCATCATTGTAAGTGGAAAACATCTATTGTTTGTCATTTGCACCCTCACAATCAGATTTTTCAGTGACTGATCATCATAGACATTCACCATATTTCCTCCAAACACAAGATGGTATCCATGCTCCATCATTTGCCCAACACTAAGCAAGTTTTCTTCAAGACCAGGTACAAGCATTACTTCATGAATGTGTTTCTTACCTAGCTTGGTTTTGATCACCAGAGTTCCTTTTCCAACAACTGGAACTACTTCTCCAGTTCCCATCTTCACCTTAGAGGTCAAATCCTTTTGAATATTCACTAAAAGTCTCTCATCTCCTGTCATGTGGTTACTACAACCACTATCAATATACCAAGAGTGATTTACCTTCACATCAGTTGCAGTATTACACACATAAAACAAAGCACCAGCTTCTTCCATTTCATTTGCATAATTCACCTTATGTGCATTCTTATTTCCATTGCAGTCTCGGATCATATGTCCAAATTTTCCACATCCATGGCATTTAGGCTTGCCTTCAAACCAACATTTGCCATAATGTAGCTTATCACAATGCTTACAAGCTGCTTTGTTTCCATCATTAGGCTTCCAACCTTTCTGAAAACTCTGATTTCCAGAAAAGCTTTCATTCTTAGACTTCTTTTCTTCAATATTCCCTAGATAATTCCTCACCATAACTCTTCATTTGATTCAACATATCAAACAATCTAACAAGGTAGACAGATAGAGATTCACTATCCTTCATGCGAGTATATTCAAATTCCCTATGCAACCCTTGCAATTTAACATTTCTTACCTGTTTATCTCCTCTGAATTCCAGCTTCAGAATATCCCAGGCACCCTTTGAGGTCTCCTCATTCACAATCCTGGGGAACAACTGATCTGAAACTGCACTTTGGATCAATCCAAGTGCACGAGCATCCTTCATCAGAATCTGAACCATCATAAACTTCTCAGTGTCCTTAGCCTCCTCTTTCTCCTTCCTTAGATCTGAGTCATTGAACCCATTATCGACCAGATCCCACAGACCATGCGATTTCAGAATAGTCTTCATCCTAATACTCCAGAATTCTTAGTTTTCTCCATTGAAAACCGGTGTTCGAAGCTCAGCTGCTCCCGATCCTGCTATATTAGACACCTAGATTCAAGAACTCGCCACCTTGGTCTTCGAATCAGCTCAACGATAGCTCAGATCAAGCTTGATTTACTGTTCACAGTTCACATATCACGCCCAGCTCAAACAATCGAACCTGGCTCTGAGGCCATGATAGAATTCATAGTTTTTTATTTTTTGATTTGGTTTTTTTTGGGAAAAAGGAAAAAAAAAAAAAAAAGAGAACGTTGCTCTGAATTTAGAAACTGAAGAGTGTGTACTGTTCATTCTATTTCACTGAGCAAATATACCCGTTAAGGAGAGAGAGAAGAGAGATTCTTCTCTACCTGCCTTTACACAAGATTTTATCCTAGCTGTTAAAACTATCATCCTATGAGATGATTACATCTGTCACAATCTAACACTACACTTAAGAAGCCACTTGGACTATGATCCAACGGCCCA